CCAGGGATCGGCAGAGTGCTATCTGGGCAGGGGCGCAAGAACGCGGGCCGACAGCACGAGCCCCCTCGCCGAAGGACACGTCGAGGTACCCAAAACGAACAACATTCCAAAGTGAGAGCCCCAGTCACGAAGGAACCTGATGGAAGCTTCCCGAACGAAGGTTGTGTTTAACCCTCGTGCCAGCTGTCTGATATGATTGCCCCCAAGGGAACTGTTTGGTCGCTCTTGAACCCTATGGCCCGCAGGGTCCCACCTCCGTCAAATTCCTGAGACACCTCGAGCACCTCACGGAAACTCTTGGGAGCCTTCGAGCTCCTCCTGGAGAAACCACGAACCAGCGAAAGCCTCCCGAAGCCGCCCTGGAACAAACAGCGAGGCCCCTCCCCCTCTCTCCGTTGTTTTCCTTCTCCTCCTCCTCCCCCTCCTCCTCGTCCTCCTCCTCATCCTCGCCCTACTCCTCCTCCGCCCTCCTCCTCCTCCTCCTCCTCCTCCTCCTCTTCCTCCTCCTCCTCCGCCTCCTCCTCCTCCTCCTCCTCCTCTTGCTATTATTAATAGTATTATTACTACTACTATTATTACTACTACTATTATTATTAGTATTATTATTAGTATTATTATTATTATTGTTGTTAGTATTATTACTACTATTATTTTTGGTATTATGATTGGTATTATTATTATTATTAGAATGATTAGTCTTAGTATTCTTATTATTACGATTATTGTCATTGCTATTAACATTCTAAGTATTAGTATTATTAGTATTATTATTGTGGTTTGCATTCTTATTATTATTCTTAATAGTATTCGTATTATTATTATTATCAGAAGTAGTGCGAGCAGTGTTACTAGCATTCTTAAGTGTATGATGTATTAATACTATTGTTAGTACTAGTATGATTAGTATCAGTATTATTATGTATTCGTCTCATTCGTCTTAGCATGTATCTTCTTATTATTGGTAGTATTATTATGTTTGAATTAGTCTTATTTCTCTTGTTCTTAATATTACTATTAATAGTATTAGTAATATCATTATTCATATTATGACCAGTATGAGTATTAATATTAGTCTTATTCTTCTTAGCCTTAGTATTAGTATGTTTTTTCTTCCTCATCCTCATCCTCCTCCTCCACCTCCTCCTATTGACTCTATCCTCGTCCTCCTCCTCCTCCTCTTCCTCTTCCTCCTCCTCCACGTCCTCCTCCTCCCCCCTCCTCCTCCTCCTCCTCCTCCTCCTCCTCCCCTCCTCCTCCTCCATCCTCCTCCTCCTCCTCCCTTCTTCATCCTCCTCCTCCTCCTCCTCCGCCTCCTCCTCCCCCTATTGACTCTATCCTCGTCCTCCTCCTCCTCCTCTTCCTCTCCTCCTCCCCTCCTCGTCCTCCTGCTCCTCTCATCATTCTCTTCCTCCTCTCCTCCTCCTCCTCCTCCTCCTCCGCCTCCTCCTCCTCCCTCCTCCTCCTCACCTCCTCCTCATCCTCCTCCTCCTCCTCCTCCTCCTCCTCCTCCACCGTATCCACCGTATCCCTCCTCCTGCTCCTCCTCCTCCTCCTCCACCACCTCCTCCTCCTCCTCCTCCTCCTCCTCCTCCTCCTCAGCAGCCTCATCTTCATCCTCATCCTCAGCATCCTCATCCTCATCCTCATCCTCATCGTCATCAACAGCATCAGCGTCATCAGCATCAGCATCATCATCAGCATCATAATCAACATCATCATCATCATCATCATCATCATCATCATCATCATCATCATCATCATCATCATCATCATCGTCATCATCCTCATCATCAGCAGCATGAGCATCATCATCAACAGCGTCGTCAGCGCCATCATCATCATCATCATCATCATCATCATCATCATCATCATCATCATCATCATCATCCATCATCATCATCATCATCGTCATCATCATCATCATCATCATCATCAGCAACAGCAGCAGCAGCAACATCATCATCATCATCATCATCATCATCATCATCACCATCATCATCATCATCATCATCATCATCAGCAGCATCGTCATCAGCATCATCACCATCAACAGCATCATCACTATCAGCAACATCATCACCGCCGCCACCATCATCATCAGCATCATCAGTAGCATCCTCATCCACATTCGCATCATCATCATCAACAACATCACCATCAGCAGCAGCATCACCAGCATCATCGTCAGCAACAGCATCAGCCTCAGCATCATCAACATCAGCATCATCATCATCATCAGCAGCAGCATCATCATTATCACCGCCACAACCACCACCATCATCATCAGCATCATCAGCATCATCATCATAATCATCGTTATCGTTATCATTATCAGCATCGTCGTCGTCATCGTCATCTTCATCGTCGTCATCGTCATCACCATCATCGTCACCAGCATCACCATCATCAGCATCATCAGCGGCATCAGCATCGCCATCGTCATTGTCATCGTCATCGGCATCATCATCGTCATCGTCATCATCATCATCATCAGCATCATCAGCAGCAGCAGCAGCATCAGCATCAGCATCATCATCATCATCGTCCTCTTCCTCCTCCTCCTAAGCAGCAGCAGCTTCACCAGCAGCAGCAGCTGCAGCAGTATCACCAACATCAATCAACCAACCAACCAACCAAACAACCAAACAACAAACCAACGAACCAACCAACCGTCCTCATCCTCATCCTCATCATCCCTATCCATCATCATCATCATCATCAGCATCATCATCAACATCATCATCAGCATCATCATCAGCATCAGCATCATCAGCATAATCGACGCCATCATCGTCGTCATCATCATCAGCAGCATCAACATTATCATCCCCACCACTATCACCATGATCATCCGTATCACCCTGACCACCATGATCCTAATAATCAGAATCGTCATCAGCATCATCATCAACATCATCATCATCAACATCATCATCAGTATGATCGTCCAGCGTCTGTCGGCCTTCGGCCTTCGTCTATCGCCATCCTCCCACACTCTTCCACCTCCTCAGGAGAGCCCAGAATCGAATCGAGAAGTCGGATCGGCAGTCGAAACGAATCGGATCGGCGGAAATCGGCAGCCGAGTCGGGAAAAGCCGAATCGGCTGAAATTGGCAGGCTAGTATGCCTCCAATAAGAAATCGGAAACCAAATCGGAATCCCAAGTCGAATCGAATCGGAATCGGAAGCCATCGAAGTCGAATCGAATCGAATCGGAGGAATCGAAACGAGCCCTGCCTCCTGCCCTCTTCCCCCATCCCTTTCCTCCACCATCCTCCTCGCCGTCCTTTTCTCGGAGGGCAAACTGAATCAGCGGTCACTCTCCCGCCCGACCCCAAATACAGTCAAAATCAAGCCCCGGAGCCCTGCCAGGGCGTTTCTTGACCCTTTCTTTGACCCAACTGTGGCGACGAGAAGACTCCGCGGGGGCCCAAAAACTACCAAGGAAAACAACAAAAGGCCGCTGTCGCTTCGCTTGGCACTCGCCTGATCCTCCCTTGAAGGGCAACGTTAGGCGGGGGTCGGCTCCAGGAGGGGGGGGAACGTATAACTGGAATCGGCGATACATGGCCGCTACATTAGCAGAAGGCCCCCGGAAGCGAGTCCGACGTTCCTGGGCGGGGTTGGCGATCGGGCCCGTCGTCGACGATGTATGGGCGATTCGGGGTCGATGCATCCCCCCGCCCCGCCTGTACCCCCCTGACGTTGTCCATGATTTGATCCTCCCCCCTCCCTCCCTCAGTCGCCCGGCCTATCTTCGGCCACGCGAGGGGCAGCGCGAGGCTGCTGCCGCCGCCGCGAGGCCACCCGATCGTCCTCGGGGCCCGGGGGGCTCGAACACTACCCCGGGAAGTTCTGTCCAGCATCTCCTCCTCTTCTACCTCCTCCTCCTCCTTCTTCCCCTCCTCCTCGGCCGACCCTTTCTGGGGGGGTCGGCGGGGGGATGAGGGAGCCCACCTTGAAAACATCCACTGAAAAGAAGGAAGGGCACAAAGGAGGATGGAGGAGGAAAGGGGATGGAGAAGGAACGGGAGTAGAGGGAGAACAAGGACGAACGCGTCATGTTGCAGAACTCCCGGAAGTAGTGGCCGATGGCCGCGGTCAGCTCAGAGGCGCCAGTGGCGGTCGCGACGACGAGGTCCCCATCGTCCGCGAGGCTGTAGCAACCCACCGACGCAAGGGAGCATGAGGGGGGTCTGCATGTAGAGAAGAACAAGAGACAGCATACGCATAGTCTGTCGGAGGTCCCCGCGGCCCTCCGACAGTCTGTGTTTTCCCCCAGCAGCAGAGCAAACCAGGAGGGAGAATCCGCTGCCCCTCAAGGGGGCGATGATGCACCACGGACAAAGAATACGACGCATCAGGCTAATGCAGAAATATCGCCGAGACCGTGCAGCAACCCTGCTCAACAGGCTGTCCTGCGAGCGTGGCCGAAACACCGCCGATCGAACTCGACCGCCAGGCGAAAAGACCAAAAACCTGCAAGTGCCCTGGACTCGGAAAGGGAGCAAGGAGGAGGAGGGGGAAGCAAGAGGCGAACAAGAGGACAGTCTATGTTTGTGTAGTTCGTCGCGCCCAGACGTGTAATTAAGCAACGGGTCCGCGGGCTCCTCCCATGGCGCGGGCAGCACATGTTCTTTCAACCCCCGTTCCTCCCCTTTGGGGAGGGGCTTACCCCTCCCCCTTACACCCTCCCCTGGACCTGGACGGGTGTGGTCGCGAGGGGTTGGAGCGTGCAAGATGGCCCAAAAAGGCTCCAAGAGCGCCTCAGAGAGCCCAAAATGGCCTCCAAGATGACTCAAGATAGCGCGAGATCGCTCAAGATGGCTTCCAAGATGCTCCAAGAGGCCCCAAACCCGCCCCAAGAGGGCTCCAAGTGGCCAAAGAGCTCCCCAAGGAGGCCCCGAAGAGGCCGAAATGATAAAACCTGAGGGGAATCAATGTTTGTTGCGTTCTCGCATTTTCGCTCCCGATGGCCATCGGAGGCCTCAAGATGGCTC